GCAAAGTGAGTGGCCCGGCCTGCATGCCCACCAGGCCCCTGATGTGCCACGTGCATGTTACAATACATGAGCAGTGGCTGCAGTGCCCCTACCTCCCCGGGGGTGTCCTCACCAAACCCTGGTGTACTGGCTGGCTGGAAGTACATCATCTGTCCTGTGGGAGAAAAAGCTTGCAGTCTGTGTCCATAAAGGTGGTAGCCCGGGTAACCCTGGTACCATCCCGCCCACCCCCCCCCCACCCCCCGGCTTCACTGAGCCAGAACCCCAGTAACAGCATGTGCTTAACTTTGGGTTAACTTTGGGGGTTTTGCCCCCAGACAGGGCAGAGCATGGTCAGCGAAAAGCTATCCTCACCCGCTTACTCAGACCATTCTTGTTGGATTCTGAAGCACTCTTGCAGCACTCAGAGTCCCATGCATATTGCAGTCAGAGGGCACCACGGCAGGGGACATGCTTGTGGACCTGGGCAGCGTCCTGCAGTGTGTGTGTGTGTCTGTGCCCTTCCTGCAGGAGGTGACTGCAGAGGCTGTGATGAGCTATGACCCTCTGCCTCCCGCAGACAGTATCCACTCCTACGTCAGACCTGAGAGGTATGTCTTTCTCCACTTGGCCCCCTGCTCCCAGGTTAGTGCCGTTGGCTCTCTGGGGTTTGCTGCCTCCTTCAGGAGATCAGAGACAGGCATCGGGGCCCCTGTTGAGGCGGTCTGCTCCAATAAAGACTTGTAGACCGGGAAGCCTGCAGGAGCATTTCTACTCTGCTCTATAGGGCAGCTGTGGGTTTGGTTTGGTTTGAGATAAAGTGACAGGATGATGTAATCTGTGGTCACTATCAGCATCTGCAGGCCCTGTCCTTTCATTGAGCTGCTCTCTGAGCTGTCGGATTCCACAGCAGGGTGGGGGTGATGGTGAGAAACCCACTAGAGTCCCCTCTGCCCTCCCAGAGTCCAGTGTGCTGTGGAAAACAGACGTCAGTCACCAAACTTGGAAATAAGTACAAAATGAAACCGTACTAGGGAATGGCAGGAAGGTGGGCGTCACACTCAGAAAAGCGGGTGAGAAGGTCATTGGTTTCAAGTACAAAAGCCAGCGTGTGCCAAGACCTTCGGCAGGAGCAGGGCAGACAGTGTGTCCAGAGACCTGCAGAAGGCCCCCGTACACTGAGAAGGGAGCACAGCCCTGCCTGCCGAGACAGGCCACAGGTCTGCGTAGACACTGTCAGAACCGGGACTGCTGAAACACCTGCTTGTCCTCCTGATCTCTGAGGCTGAGCCCCTGCCCTGCCTGGCACACAGTGGTGGGCGTCAGGGAGGTAGAGACACATTTCCCCATTGAATGGGGCTCCTGACACGGTGCCTTCCAAACCTGGGAGAAACACATCTTGTCCATTTTATTCTCCCACTAGATTGTAGTATAAAACCATGCTCCATGTTCGTGAGGAAATCATTCCCAGTTAAATTTACCAATAGGTTTAAGGTAGAAATAATGAACTGTTCGTGTCAGTAGGTTGTTTTGGTTTTTTGGGTTTTTTAATGACATGACTCATGCTAGCCTGGACATTCTAGAGCGAGGGATTCATCATTTTCTGCTACTTGGATCTTTGTTGTTCTCACTCGCCTCAGGGCTCTTTAAGTGTAGATCACTGAAGTGTTTAAGGAGCCATCCCCCATGGCACAGTGGCTAACTGCTTAGTTGCTTCTCAGGAGAAAAGAAACAGTGGCTTCGATGACAAGTACAGCCCAGGAGATCCCACCAGGCAGCTGTATCTGTCCTCTGGGGTCGCGATGAGTCGGCATGGACTTTACGGCAGTGGATTCATGAGAATTGCAGCCTAAGAACTGCCATCGGCAGCTGTATCTTGTCCTATAGCGTCACTATGAGTTAGAGCTGAGGCAACAGCAAACCACCGCCACCAAGTGTATGATAAGAAGCCCTTCAGGGTGCCCCCAGATCACCTGCTTGGCTGCAGAAAGGAAGGCTGGGAGTTTGAGTCCACTCAGAGGTCAGCCAGAAGAAAGGCTTAGTGATATACTTCCCCCAAAATAAGCCGTTGAAAACTCTGAGGGAGCACAGTTCTACTCTGACACACTCAGGGCTTACCCAGGGTTGAAGTCCATAACACCTGGTGGTTTTAAGATGTCTAGGAGAGCTAGGGTACCATTCCCACTTCACCTGTAGGAGTTGCCCCTCAGTTGCCTCTATGTGGCTTTCGGGACTGATGGAAACATCACCGCTGCACCTTTTCTTGAACAAGGAGCCCTACTGTGCCATGGCTGATGCCCAGCTCAGCCATAGTGGGCTCTGCTGTCCACCTGGCTCAAAGTTGGTTTCTCAGGATGGTAAGTGAGCCAGGTGTAGAGGCCCCGCCCCCAGCTCTGGATTTCCTTTCCTGGTATCATCTGACCCATTCTTTCCCTTGTTACTGGAGTAGCCCACGGCCCAACCCTAACCAGACCAGGAGTCCTCACCACCCACCCCACAGTCCTGGTGTTACCCTCTGGATTTAGGGCCCCAGTTTAGCTCAACCACTCTCCCCCTACCTGCTGCTTAGGAATGCCTTTCCCACCCCACCCCCGCCTCTGGGAGATGGGGGCAGGAGGACCTTAGATGGGACATCATGAGCTGGGCTGGTGGGTGTCCGGAAAGGTTTGGTTCAGTGTCCCCTTGGGCCCCTCCCGGCTTTATCTAACAGGCAGACTCCCGCCGGCCAGACAAACACGGTGGCCCTCTTCTTCCGATCTCTGTTGCCAAACTACAACACTGAGGTAGGTCCGGTGTGCCTCTGTCCTTCCCCCATGGATGGCAGCCAGCAGGCTCATCCAGTGTGGGCATGTGAGATCCCTGCTGGGAGGCCACCTGGTTCAGGAGGGCACCTGTCTGGTTGGGAAGATAGCACACAGCTACTAGGATCAGTCCCCCACCCTGGCTCAGATGGTGCAAGCTGACACGTGGGCCCTACACCACGCTGGGCACTGGGGTGGGGGCTGAGTGCTTAGGACCGTAGTCCCTCAGAGGGCTGACTCAGGCTGCTGCTGTCACAGGAAGACAGGCTTCAGGAGCAGCGGCTTGGAGGAGGAGGAGGAGACGACGGTAGTGGCGGCACAGCTGATAGCCTGGACCGAGTCCAGGGCCTGAACAGGCTGATGGTGGCCGTGCGTGAAATGATGGCCAACTTCCAGTTCAATGACCTGGACATGCCTCGCCAGGAGAACCGGGAGAATTCCCAGGGCCAGGGCCAGGCCGAGGGTGATGGGGACGAGGAGTGGGACTGAGTGCACAGTGCCCTATTCCCTCACCTTGCCATCATGTCCCTGACTTCTGTTCTGGCTGGTAAGCCAGTCCCCAAAGCAGGAAGCTGCTTCTCCTACCCCTTCTGTGAATGTCCATGATCTCCTGACCCATGACTATCAGTGGTCTCCTGCCCCATAAATGTTGATGATCTCCCACCCTATAAATATTGGTGGTCTCCTACCCCTGTGACTATCCCTGGTCTCCTGCTCTGTAACTGTTGGTGATCTCCCACCTTATAAATGTTGGTGGCTTCCCAACCCTATAAATGTTGATGGTCACCCGTCCTGTAAATGTTGATGGTCCCCCACCCCTGTGACTATCACTGGTCTCCTGCCCTATAATTGTTTATGGTCTCCCACCCTATAAATGTTGATGGTCCCCCGCCACGTGACTATCACTGGTCTCCTGCCCTATAAATGTTGATGGTTTCCCACCCTATATGTGTTGAGAGTCTCCCGCCCCTGTACTATCACTAGTCACCCGCCCTATAAATGTTGGTGGCTCTTGTCTGGTAAATGTCAGTATTCTCCTGCCCTATAAATGTCAGTATCCTTGCTGTGTCTTGTGCTTCTTTCCCGGGGTCTGCACCGCTGCCAAGGTGGAGCTCTTATCTCGAGGGCCTATGCACGACCCCTGCAGCCAGCACTCCCAGGTGCCCAGTGCGACCTCCCCCATGCAGCCCGGAACTCCCAAAGCCTTTCCCCACTGCTGGTCATGCTCTGGGATTGGGGGTTCTGGGGAGAAGAGAAGGAGTCCCCTGGGTCTCTAGCACCATGTGTATGCCCGCTGATGTTGACCAGGGCAGGCCAGCCCTGAGCTAGGAGGTGCAGCTGGAGAAGATGCTGGGTCAGACCTGGGGTACAGAACTTGACCATATTTTTAGTGGAAACAGCAGCAGCACCAGGGCTTGGAGGTCAGGGAGCTGGAGCCAGGGGTGAAGGGGCAGTCAGTATGGTGGGGGTAGGGGTGCAGTCCGCCGGGGTCCCACCTGCAGCCATATGGTGTGGCTGACACTCAAGGTCCTGGGTTGTCTCCTGCAGGCATGTGTGGGCCTGGATGTGGGCTCAGGGAAACAGGCAAGACCATCTCTGCCACTCTCCACCAGGGTGGGGACTGCACCGAGGCTGCAGGAACCTCCCTTCCAGAAGTGCCTGGACTGGATAGAAGGCGGAGGTCCTGGGGTGAGTGCCCACAGGGGATGTCTGCCCTCAGGCTGCACAGCTCCCCAAGCCCAGGTTGGCCGTGTGCTCCCAGACATGAAACATGGTGTAGTGAGAGGGCTTTCTCTCAGGAGATGCCACAGCCCTACCACTGTCACCGGCAGGCCACGTCCAGGTCCTCCAAGCCTGGGTACGGCGCCATGAACAAAGGCTCAGCCTCATCATCTGTGGAAGGGGAGACAGAGCAATGGCATGGGAGGGGGTTATGTGAAGGAACAGCGGGCTAGACCCTCTCCCAGGAGAGAGGTGGTGCCACTGGCCCCAAGGCAGATCGGATCAGGGCAGGGTTTGCCCAGCCCACTTGTATCTGTCACCTTCTGTCCATGCAGCCAGGGGCCAAGACAGGAGTCACAGGTCAGGGCCACCACTTCTGATGATGGGAAGAGGGCCGCAATCAGCTTCTGCCGAAGGTTCACCAGTTCTCACACCGTGAAGGTCTCCGCTGGGTTGGTACAGGGGTGGGGCTTAACAGCGTCCCCTTCAAAGACCTCATTCAGCATGATCCCCTGAGGTGACACTGAACAGTCCCCCCCTCAAAACACTGCCTTAGGCAGGAAGCCAATGGGAAACACTCCCCAAGAACACCCAGGCCTGTCTGCTGCTAACGGGGTCCTAGGGCCCCAGAGGTGGCTTCGCTTTGGCCCACTGTGGCTGCTGCCCTCCTTCATCCCCTGGAACTTGGCCCCCCTGGGTGACTCTCACTGCATGCTGGGAAGGGATCCTGGAGGGGTTGTGGCGGGGTGCCCGGATGGAGGGTCTTCTCTGAGCCTTGAGCACGACAAACACGAAAGCAGTGCAACCAACTCTGCTAACATCACAAACACGTGCACGGGTGCACACACACACCATCCTCTCCTGCTGTCCACGGGACTCGCTCGGCCTGCACACAACTGTGGGGTTCCACCGGCGGGGGCTGCTGGCAGGGTGGGGGAGGTCTCTGCACACCTCTGAGCTCCTTAGAAGGTGAAGGTCATGGTAAGCTCTGAAGCTCCTATTTGAGAATGATGCCCTGAGGTGTCATTGGGAGCCCGTGACACAAGCCACCAGGAGGCCCAGGGTGAGAGCTGACAGCCTGTCTCCAACAAGTACCCTCCTCGGAGACCCTGGTGGGCACTTTGCTCAGTCAGGTGGGGCCGCAACAGTCGTTGATCAGTGGAGGTCAGGCAGGGGCAGCCGGAGGACCATTGCAGGTGTGCACTCGGCTCCTCTGGCCAGCCCTGGTTCGGTCCCCACCACAGCTCTGGCCTGTCTTCACTGCCCACCCCCCACCCGCCAGCCTCGTGCCCTAACCGCTTCAAGTGGCGTGAGTTGCCCAGTGGAGACAGGGAGTCTGCCCTTGATGTGGTGTCTGGCTCGGGGCCTGTGGTCATCATCTGCAAAGGAAATGGAGAACGTGAGAGAGCGGGCCTGGCCCCCCCAGCGGATGTGGCTAGTGGATCCCAGTCGGCCACACAGGCGCCTCAAGCTCCCAGAGTTTGCCTGCCCCGTGGTGCCCTCTGGTCCCAACAGAAGCCCCAACTTCCACCCCGACTCTGCCCACTCGATCTAAGATGCATTATGAAACATGCCTAATCCAGCTGTAAAATCGGCCTTAAGTCCCAGTGGTGGGTGCCAGGCTGGCCTGAATGACGTCTGAAGGGGCGGGGAAGGAGCTTGAAGTTTCTCCAATGGGTGTGGGCGTAGAGAGGCAGGCCCCCGGGGCCCTGGGTGAGACACCAGGCCTGTAAGGGGTATGGGGCAGGAGAGGGGCGTGGCAGAATGCTGGCACCTCCCTGTGTCCTGGGCATAGCTGTCATGTGGCTGCCCTCGGGGAGGGGCCGTGTGCTCCTTTAAATAGAGTCTGGAGAAAGACCCCATTCTTTCCAGACCTCACCCTGCCCTGGTCCCAGGAGGTAGGAAGCCAGGCAGCCACTGAGCTAGGCCCTGGGCAGCCAGGAAGGTGGGCGACAAGATGGGGCAGGGGGTGCTGGGAAAACATGGCCTCTGAACAGCTTTGCCTTCAGGGCAGAGTCAGGAAGGGAAACTGAAGCCCAAGGACTGTGAGCAAGGAGTGCAGGGGTGGAGGGGGCGGGTTACTGCTGACTCCAGGGGCCCAGATAGGCCTCTGTCTGGCCAGGTGAGTGCAAGGACTGCCCCGGGTGAGGTGGGGGGGGCTCTCTGCCCTTCAAGGGCACCATGCACTGACCAGGGTGCTGAACAGGACGGATTGGGCTAGAATCAGGCCCCTTCCCTTGGGGGAGGGAGGCTATGCCCTTGCAGGGCTCCCAGGGGAGGCTTTGGGGCTCACTCAATGCCACAACCCCTGCCAAAGCCCACTTGGGGCTGGCTGTCAACCAGACTGGCACCTGGTGCCTGGAGGTGCCTGTGCCTGACGGGCTCTTTCTCTCGCTGGGGCTGCTGAGCCTGTTGGAGAACTTGCTGGTGGTGGTGGCCATCAGCAAGAACCGGAGCCTGCACTCGCCCATGTACTACTTCATCTGCTGCTTGGCTGTGTCCGACCTGCTGGTGAGCGTGAGCACTGTGCTTGGGACAACAGTTGAGCTGCTGCTGGAGGCTGGCACCCTGGCCCTGCAGGCTGACACCATGCAGCGCCTGGACAAGGCCATCGCTGTGCTCACCTGTGGCTCCATGGTGTCCAGCCTCTGTTCCCTGGGCGCCATCGCGGTGGACCGCTACATCACCATCTTCTACACCATGCACTACCACAGCATCGTAACGCCGCTCCGTGCGCACCGGGCCATTGCCACCATCTGGGGGGCCAGTGCGCTGGGCAGCACCTTCTTTGTCGCCTATTACGACCACGCTGCCGTGCCCCTGGGTCTGGTCAGTTTCTTCTTGGGCCTGATGGCGCTCATGGCAGCACTGTACGTGCACATGCTGGCTCGGGCCTGCCAGCACGCCCGCCGCATCGCCAGGCTCCACAAGCCATGGCACCCTGCTCGCCGGGCCCTGGGCCTGAAGGGCGCCGCCACGCTCTCCCTCCTGCTGGGCTTCTGTTTCCTCTGCTGGGGCCCCTTCTTCCTGCATCTCAGCCTCATCGCCCTCTGCCCCCAGCACCCAACCTGCAGCTGCGTCTTGAAGAACCGCAACCTGTTCCTCACTCTCATCGTCTGCAACTCCTTCGTGGACCCGCTGATCTACGCCCTTCGCAGCCCGGAGCTCCGCAAGACCCTCAGAGAGGTGCTGCTCTGCTCTGGCTAGAAAGGCCAGTACAGGCGAGCTTTCCCTGCCGCTCGCCGGCCACCAGCGGGAGGGCTGGTCACCTGGAGTCAGAACGCCTGCCTCACCAGGCCCCAGACTACCCACAGCAGCGCCCTCACCTTCCGCATCCGCCGCACCTGGGCTTTCATTGCCCCTGTAGACAGGATGGACAGTGCGGAGGTGGGAGTGGGCCGAGGCGGGCACGAGACCAGGAGGAGTGCCCCTGTTCTGTTCCGTGCCGCGGTGCCCCGCCCGCTGTGGCTGCCTGGGCCAAGAGCTGGCTCTGCAGAGCATGCGGCGCCTCCTTCCAAGGGCCAGCTGCGCGCTCACGGTGGCCAGAGAACCGGAGTTCAGTGACAAGGAACTCTTGTCTTGGGGAGTGGAGGAGTGGCGGTGGTTTGGTAATAAGGCCCTACCCTGGCAGCTCCATCTGCTGAGTACTGGAGGCTTGTAGGGAGAGACGAGAACCAGGGCAGCGGGACAGAGTCCCAGAGCGCACCTAGACCCACCCTGATTGAGAAGCCTGTAGGTGTCCAGACCCCAGTGGCTGGCTCAGGCCTCTCTCCCCCAGGGCACTCCACTAGCCATGGCACCCCTAGTGGCCCTGGCTAGGGACATTTGGGGAAAGGTCTTGATGCACATGATGGGCTAACGGCTCAAGCTGCCTTGGAGGCATCAAGGGTCTGAGGGTTTCTAAGCCCTAGGGAAGCTGGGATATGGGTTAGCAGTCTGTGCCAACCCCTCCTTGGCCTTAAGCCCATCACAGCCTTCCTGCAGCCATGCTGCCCAGAACTGTAGACTCCCTGCCTGCTGGGGAAGGCAGCTGAACGGTTGTATCACTCCTGTCCAGCACCTGAGCCCATACTGCCCAGTTTGTCCCTGCTGACTGCTGACAGGCTGTTGACTGCTGCCCCTCCACTAGGCTGGGAGCCGCTTCGCGGCAGCATTAGCCTTTACTGGAAGGTGGGTCAGGACGTCAGGCTGAGCTGGCTCCAGGAGCCTCTGGGGACAGTCCTGAGTTGGTCTGGCCTGGTGCCTGGACAGGCAGGGAGGCAGGCTGGGTGACAGCTGGGAGCCCTCTCCTGCTCAGAGGAGGAACAGCAGCCACAGCTCCTGGCTCCTGGGAAGGACCAACTGCTTACTAGCCCCAGGCAGGGACAGGGGCAGGAAGGGTCCAGGAGCCCACAAAAAGCCACCTCTAGGACTCATTGTGGGGGAGGGAGAGTCTCTTGAGAAGAAAAGAACCACAAAGAGGTTTTTCTTTTGAGCAGGAAGGGGTGGGGGCTGCAGAGCCACACCTACTCAGACAGGCTCAGGTGTCTACAAAATGGGCTGGGGGTGTGAGGTGGACAGCTGGTTTGTGCGTCACCCACTACGGGCTGATTTCCGGAAGGCCTTTGTCACTGATATGCCATGATGTATGACCAAGTGATTTCACCAAAAAGCCTAACTGTGTGTGTGTGTGTGTGTGTGTGTGTGTGTGTGTGTGTGTGTGAGAGAGAGAGAGACAGAGACAAAGAAAGACAGACCCTATATGTGTGTGAGTGATGGGGGGAACTCTGTGTGTGTGTTGCTGTGTGATGGGAGGGGGCCCTGTATGTGTGTTTGTGACAGAGAGAGATGGTATGTGTGTGTGTGACAGAAAGACAGAGACAGACCCTATATGTATGCGTGTGATGGGGCGGGGGCGGGGCTGTGTGTGTGTGCTGGAAGTCTCAAGAGCGCCACCTCACTGCTTCTCTCTCTCCAGAAAACTGGTCATGGCCTCTTGTCCCTCTTTGTCCTGCAAGGCCCCACCCCATGCACCCACAGTCTCTCCACAAGGGGGTTCCTAACTGGGCGAGCCCCCACCCCCAACCCCCACCCCAAATCAGAAGAGAAGCAGACTTCCCTTTGACTAAGAGTCCCAAGACTGAGCAAACCCCTGGGTGCAGGTGACCTCAGAGGGGTGAGTCAGACCCAAACCTCACCACCATCTGGCCCCTCCCCGAACGACCTCATAATTACTCCTGTCACAGCCACTGTGCCCCCTCAGGGGAACGGATGCGCTGAGGGCCAAGGTGACACACCTTCAAATCCACCTTCTCTCAACCTTCTACAGACCCTCTACCGGGCCACGGAGGGGGGGGAGGGGGAGGAGGTCGAGTGACCCCCCTGGTCCACAGCCGCTTCTCTCCACCTGCAGCTTTTCCTCCCCAGAGGGTCGAGGGGGTCCCGACAGGGAGAAGAAAGACCCTGCCCCACTGGGCTGCGGGTGTGGCGGCTGAGGGTGGGCGAAGAGCAAATGGATTTCGGTTCTCGCCACGCCTCCGAGCTGGTGCTGGGCAGGAGGCCGGGGGTTGGCCGCTGCCATTGTCCGCCCTGGAGCCCGCC